TCAATCGAACTCTCAATAAATATATCTTGTAACTTGTACATGAAAATGTAAATCAATCGATTTGACTTCTCAGTAGTTTCAGTGTTAAGAAAAGGACAGAATTGTGGTCAAATGTATACTTTTATTTAGAAACGTAAATGAACTGGGATTAAAAATTAATTAGTTCAGTAAATTGAGAATAATATAAATCGACGTCAGTGTAAATCTTTCTTAATTCTTACTTCTTATGATTTTTTAAGCTGTTGAGTTTATACGTTTAAAATGTGCATGACTATACAATCAGCAATATAAGTGGACATGTAGTCATTTGGCAAAATGAATTACTGTTTTCATAAAATTGATTGTAAACATTCATGTAAAGAAACGATTGTGATTTATATATCATTGGCGCAACTCCAGAGTTGTCCTTTTTGTGATATTGGTATAGAAGGAACATTATTTGAGAATTCACGATGATATTATAATACTTCTGTCCCAGTTCGATTGACATTTGACTCATACCCCGTTTGGCATTTCACTAAAACATTTTTAAAAATGACGTCTCAAAGTATTTAAAGCTATTTTGCGTAAAATTATGATTTTTGTGACTGTTGGTGCAATCTTTGAAAATTATTATACAAGGAAATTATTATTAAATGAACGCTTCAATAATTATATGTACTTGATAGTGTATTTGAAAATCAATCTAAATTTAAACATATCTATGAGAATGTAATTTATTAATTAGTATTTCTTGAATTCTTTATTAATTTCTAGGAATTATTAATTTTCAATTAAATAAAATTTTCAATTAAATAAAATTTCAATTTATTATGATCTTTATGCACTCTCTAAATATACACAGTTGTGTTAGTTTGGGTAACATGATATAAAGCTCACTGGACTTTCAAGAAACACCATTAGATAGCGTTACAAAAATTATACGTTATTATACAAAAGAAGGTTGCGAGGTGACCTGCATTTCTCCTCGATACGATTTTCTGCTTTATCCTTATATTTAACACAGTTTTACTTATTCATATCCTGACACCATAAATCCAATTTCATAATTTATTTCTTTAAACTACTTTTATTTAGCTTCTTGGCCAAGTCAACATTGGATATCCTTCATTTTAAAAAAGAATTATGGTTCTTTTTACGAATATTATTAAATAGGCGTTAGTCAGTTGAATTTTTTAAAAATTTTGATCCACCTAGCGGATTTCTTGCAAAGAGAAAAACATCTCAGAGTTCTATATAATTAAATATATTATTTGATTATTATTAATACTGAACATCAACCTTTCTAATTTTGTTGCATCAAACCTCATAGCGACTGATAGTCGTCTCTCGAGTGCAAAGGATTAACCCTTTGCAGTTAATCAAAAACTGCAATTGAATAATTTAATTATTCAACTAACGAGAGACTGACATATGGTTTTTTTCTTTTAGCATTTAAGACTTAGGCATATAATTTAGTTTTTCACGAAAGGAAATGTTAAAAGTGGCAGTCTCGTCTCCGAAGAATTAACACATTGTTGACCGATCACGAGTTAACTCGTGTTTTCATTCCCAAACGTTGTTGACCGGTCACGAATTAACCTGTGTTTGCACTTGCATTAACTATCTCGATTTTTGAAACGCAGGGCAATATAGAATGTTGCAAAAGCAGAATATTCAAAGTTATATAAGAGATATGTCCAAAGTTTCATTTCAATTCATTATGTATAAATAAAGTATATTGAAGTTTATTTAGATTGTTTCAACTTTCATATTTAATTATGGAACAATAACCGGCGACATGGAATAGCTTCTGCGTAAAATTGCCAGTCAGCAAAGTATTAATAGAAAATCGTCGACCCTAAAGAATTAATACTCAATAGCCTAGGATAAACGTAAATAAAGTAACACGAGTCAAATCTGATCCAACTCGAGCGATAGGTCGTCGAATTCAAGGTTTTAACGCGCCGCAACGGTTCCACCATATTACCCAACACCATGAATTTCCTTGTACCCCACATCAAGGAAAGAGTACGAAACCGGATACCAAACGGTGTCACGAACTCTTTCGCCGTGTCCGATTGCGAAAAATTGACGTACATACCCTCCTCGCCAAGGCATATCACTTGAAAGGTCGTAGAACACGTAAAGACCCGCACGGAAGGTATCCCTTTGTCGTACACCTGCCTCTATTTACCTGTATATCCGTGTATACGTGCATTCACGTCCTCTCGTGTGTTCGTACACGTACGTATGTACGTCTATGCAAACATGAACCGCTTGCATACTCGCCCGCATCGCTTAGTTAGTACCCAAATGTTCGTGCACACGTGATATCGTACGCACGAATTATTTCCATGTGGTTGCGCGAATCATTTATAATGACAATAATTCAGTGTATACTTCGCCGTGGAATTATTTGAGATTGAATACAGTGAAGCCCGCCATTGTTCGAGCATCTGTTCGTTCGAAATCCCATTGTCCTGTTATCCTTAATAATGCCTCCTTGTACTAAATGGAATATGGCCCCGTTATAGAACTGTCGCAACATTTATCCATGATAATTAGAATTCATCCTGTTAGTAAAACGATAATACTGGTTTTTCGGTTGAAATGTTTTTAGAAGATTGTTATTTTTAACCCCTTGCCTTATGATTTATTTTTCAACTATACTAGATAAAACAACTTTATCGTTAACAGTTTATTCGAAAAAGAACAAAATTTAGAAATAATTTTTAGATTCGTCGAATTCAATTTAAAATTTTCATCACGAGTCTGACACGTTATTATAGAGCAACAGGTCAAGGTGATTCTGAAATGTTTGTTATCCATACGTTTTATTAAACTTTGAATTGTTATTAAAGATTGAATGACTTAGCTTCCTGTAGAACTGTATGAACAGTCTAGTTTATTCGTTTTGAGTGATCTTCGAGTGTTTTTAATTTGTTTATGTTCGTTTTGGAAATGTTAGTCATGATAATTGAAATAAGAGAGGTGTAGAAATAAATGATTAATTATGTTCTCAAGATTCTGTATATTTTCTGTTTAATAAGTAGAATACTTAAGCTATCTTAGTAATTAGATGTTCATTATTTAACTCGACCATTTTGTTACTTTACGGTACTTTACTGAGACAATAAATCAGGAAGATATCATAAATTTAAAGAGCATTACAAGTAATTTGTGGAACAAAAATTTTAATTAAAGGCTGCATTTTCTATTATTTATAATCATAATCAGGAATTATATTATTCCTGTAATACGTAAAATTATAAAAGAACGTGTATTCTTCAGTTCGAAGTGGAAAAACATTGGAAATCTACAGTGACGAACACATAAAACGTTCATTGTTACCTTTTTAACTACCAGTCGTATAAAATTTCAGAGATGCTCACGACACACGCGTGCGTATATCATCGTGATAAGAGTGTGAACATAAACGATAACAGCCCAGCCTGCGTGACACCATAATTCGATGCATGGTGACGTAATGTATGACGAAATAATGACTTTCACCTAAAACCGGAAACCTGTGATTAACTGGTTTGCTCGGATTATTCGACGTCGAACATCTAGTAATTCTAACAGCGATGATCGTATCTCAAAAGAAAAATGTTTCTATGAGTATTTGATCTCGAAAATCGTAACTGTTTATTCCCCGTAGGCATGAAAGGAAGACTTTTTAACCCTTTGCCCAACGATTTATTTCTCAACTGTAATATAATCTATGCAACTACTTCGTCATTAATAATTTATTAAGAAATAGAAAAAAAACTAGTAGGCATATGCTATATCAATCTTTGGTCTAGAGTATAATTGGTGACAGAAGAATAATATTTCAATTGAATTCAGAAGAATCAAGTAATATTTATAGACTTATTAAATTCTACTTAAAAATTTCACCATAGTTCTGACACATTATTATAAGGCGAAGGGTTAATCATCATTCATAAATTAAATGTCACAATATTAGTGCAAAGGGTTGATTGATTTCGCCGGAACACGTGTGTCAGCAAGGTTTCAAACAATAGTTCTTCATAGATTTACAGACTTGTAACAGTTTAACGATAAATTGTTTACAGAATATCAACCGGAATGCCAGTAATAAATACAGTTGTGAAATTAATTACTCGTAACGGTGAAAGAATTATTTTGAAAAAGAAATCTAAATTAGTAGAAAATGCCAAAGGAACTCTGTGTTAAAGGAAGGAATAGATCTCAATATTAGTGCAAAGCTTACTTGTATGCTTGAGAACGAGGTCTATGAAACGAAGTTTATGAAGACTGTTAGGTAAAACAGATGATTTTAGTATATATTATAATAATGATAATGATGATGATGATGATGATGATGATAATGATGATCATAATAATAATAATAATAATAATAATAATAATAATAATAATAATAATAATAATAATAATAATAATAGTATAAATGTTATTCAAAAAGGAAAAATATCAATGAAAAATAAAATAAATAAAACAAAATGATAAAAGACATTTAATAACACGCATCACTTTATTCTCACTTGAACAGAATCCATCATAATTAATTACTGCAGATCAATTATGTACCTTTATTTCATGTTAAATTGATTAGATTCATCTTCACAGTTTTTCAAGACTGTCATATGTACACAGAACACAACTAATTCTTCCCGCTGAGAACATAGCAGGTTATCGCCTAAACGACAAGAATTATTCGAAGTACACTACACAGTACGATACAAAATATTCTTTCCAGTTTTATTAACCAGTTAACCTGTTAACCGTGGAATTCAGCTTCAAAAATCTCTCACGGTACGCGCAATAAAATCAAGCAATAAAGTATATACTCATCAAACGCAGTGCAAACGTACCTATGTGTATCTGAAAAAATTCATTGTTGAAAAGATTAGTATCATTTCGAGTTTTAAAATGATACGACTTATTTCAACGATTAATTATTTATATTTCACATAAACATGTAATTCTTCTTCATTTTGCTTTAGATTTTTGTTAGAATATATTATAGGTGTATCTGGCCTGCATTTTATGAGTATACACTTCATTATTTGATTTCACTGCGAGCATTAACAGGGATTTTTCAAATTAAATTCCATAGTTGACAGGTTGAGAATCTTCATAGGTGGAGCGGCAAGAATTACTTGAACATAATCCCTATCATAATCACGGACGTGTCGTGCCTCTAAATCTTTCGTCGCTACTTATGTACATCTCTTCATGAAGTTTCCCAGTCGTAATACAGTCATATCGGCGAGGCGATTGACGTGGTTGTTATCACGGTCCTGCAGGTAACTGATAACGAGCAACGTCGACAAGACCAGTTTAGTCCTACGTTCGTTCCCGCGAAACACGGACTTTGTTCACGTCGATGCGCGTGTCACGTATTTAACAATGACAGTGTCGGTTTTCGCTGGTTCGCAAAAGACACCGCTGCGTCGTTAACAATTGTGTAATCGTGCAGTAAACTCCATATTGTGTGTTTTCCTACATAAAAAAGAAAACATTTCTTAATTACATGCGATCTGTGTCTACAATGACAATTAAGTGGTAATGAATTTACGCGAACTACACTTGAGGAGACGTAGCAAACATTGGAACATTACAACGTCTTCGAAGTATAGTTAAAATGTACGTATAAAAATGCAAAGTACAATTTATCAGCAATGAAGAATTATTTGATCGTACGAAAAGAGGCGAATGAATTTTAAGTTTACAGGTGTTGTCGTAAATCTGTTCGAATTGAACGATATAAATAATAAACGGAAGGGTAGTTTTATTTTGAGAGAAGCAATCTAACAAGTCGGTTAAAGAACAGTTGAAAGAAATTTAATTAACAAACCTTACCTTTTTACATCAATGTAAATTCGAAATCTACTATATATGAAATCGAAATGTTTGTTAGAAAGAGAATAAGAAGGATATCATACAGAATACTGTTTAAACATGCATACTACGATGTATAAAAGTGATAGAAAAAAGAAATGTGGATCACAGAATTCACACGGTGAACAATAATTTCATAATGGGTGGAAAAATACACTTAATAAATCTGTTCTCAATTACCCTTCGGCTAATGAATAAATCTTCCACCATTTACTAAAGATTTTCACAAGGAAGAAGGATTCCATTATTCCTGAAAAGCATCGGTTTACGTAATACCCTGACAAAAGGTCTTCCTTCGAACGTAACAGGTTCGATTCTATTGAAGCCAATTAATTCCGTCCAATTAACATCGCACAACGCCAATTACGGGCTCGTCAAGTCGTAACTACGACGAGACGCCGTGTCATTATTCTGGAAATAATAGTTTTTGCTCCTCAGAATCTCGAACTGTCCATAGCTTAGAAGGAAACACAAATTTGAGTATTTTATTTATTCACAATTATCTCTGATTTGTAGAAATTCGGACAGATCAACATTCGGTACAATATACACCGATAGCGCTGTCTGCTTCGAGCGCGCACGTTCACCGTAAAAAAGTCAGTTTTACAGTAAAACTGAGTGATACCCTGTACACTCAACTGGAAGGGATTATCTGTTGAATGGTCGCAATAGTGAAGGAGAAAGATCATTAAACGTTAGTGCATTACGAAACAATCGCACTTTATCGCGTTTCATAAAGTTAACGAGAGTTAACGTTCCATGTGTTAAATGTTCTATTGATCTTAAGATAATATTAAAAGTATCATTTATATGCAAAGAATTAAGAAAGAACAATGAAGAATGAAAAATAAATAAGAGAAGTCTAAGAAAGTTTCTGAAGATTTCAGCATTAATATTAATTAAAGATTAATAATTGTTTAAAGTTAGAAATTTGAGTAACAAGTTATGGCTGATAGACCAATATAATAACCACTCTGCAATAAAACGTGTCGCCCAATCGAACAACAGAACAGTCCAATTACAGAAGCTGCTCTCATTAAAATGATTCTTCAAAATTCTTCACTACGGGCGTAATTGAGTCCTCTATTTGCTCGGCTAACAGTCGGAGTCAAACAACGCGAATGCAGGTGACTGTACCAATAAGAACACCGCTGATCGATGAGTCACCGTAACAGTATCTCGCCAAGAACTAACATTTTTGAAAGTGGAATACATTCATCACCTAGAAATTCACACAGAATTAAAAAAAAAGAAAGAATAAATAAAAGAACCGATCAACCCAAGAACTAGAATTTCTGAAATAGAAATCCATCATCCAGAAATACACACCCAATTAAAGAAAAAAAGGAGCAAACAAATAATCGAACCGATTAACCGATGATTCACCCTCGCGAAGGTGACCTCTTATCCCAAGCGTGAGAAGAGAATCAGTTAAAAATTCGTTGTGGGCGAGAACGAACAATCATCGGGAACAATGTCATGCAGGAAGAAGATAGACTCGAAACTGTGGCTGGAGTACACCCAGACGGTAAGAATCGATTGTATTCGTGCATCGTGATAACGGTTATCCGGCGTATTGCCGGGACTATACGAGGGGCCGAGGGTTTCTAAGGTAACCGAGTTAATAAATCGATGAGACGTTATCGTGCAGGATTGAATTCAGTGCCGCTTCCACTGAGGAGAGGATATCATCCCTGTTTTCTCTTTTCTCCCTTTCATTATTTTTCGCCGTACATAAGTACTCTTCTCTTTTTCACGTCGGGCCCCGCGATAGAGTCGCGATCAAGGCCGAAACAGTCGTCGGATGCTTTACGAGCACCGATTCCTTTGTTCCGTCAATGCGGAGTAAAACTCTCGTATTACGAGCCGGGAAAAATAATGGCTCGTGTTCCGAGTCGCGTTCGACTCGAGGAGACCGAAACGGGTTTAACTTTTCGCTGGCAAGCGGAGTCTAGACGCGGAACGGCGCGTCGCTGACGGTAAAACATTTTCGGCGGTTGGAGTGAGGCAAGCCGGGTTGATCAATAAATTCGTCCTAATATCGAGTTCCGGGAAACATCGTGTGCACCCTAATCCCTCGAGCACCGACGGATCTTTTGTTTGAAATAGTTGAGACAATACGGCAGAATTTTAGTATTACAAATACCAGACAGCTCAAAATCACCCATTCCTGATGTATTCTTTCTGCAATTATTAAAAAGATAACAGATGTTTCTCTAAGAAATTATTCAAGAAATTGATTGAGCAACACGAACACTGAATTATAAATCAATAAAAGTCTCAATAGGTGCACTCTTGGAGTTTTTGGAAAGGAATTTCAAAGCGTCAATTTAACTGCTCGGTAGATTTAGTGTTAAGTACGACACGATTGGAATTATCTAGGGGATGTTTGCTCGTTAAATCCAGACCAACGAGAATGGATGATCTTTTATTATATATGTATAATTGCTTATTATAAATGAGGTACAAGATAAAATATAAATATTAGAAAAATATGGTTGGTTTAGTACTTTTTATAAAATGAATGTAGCGGTCCTTAGATTCAAATATAATGTATTATATATTATGTTATACTATATAATTAGAGTGCGGATTTTTATAGATTTATGAGGAATTTGGAAATACAAAATTCCGTAGAACGATCAAGATGTGATCAAATATATTAAGTATCCAAAGTACGTTACGTTGCGTAAACGTTCATAGAGAAGGGAGGAAGATTAAAACATCAATATTCTTATACAGCTCGCAACATAATGTTGCTATTACGGATCGTTACATATAACCCTTGGTAATGCATGATTAAATTATAGTTCAAGATAACATTACACGGTGCAATCATCGAACATCCTATGTTTAACAGATAAAGTATAGAACAACGTTAAACAGACAAGGTGTATTACATTGTTAAAAAGAAGAGTGAAAAAAACTAGTTAATCATAGACCGGCGTTCCGTTGATGCTTCCTGTATGCTGGTATGCTATAAATCCCTGAATCAGTGATCGTGTACAATCCATTCGGTATTATCAGTCATTTCCAATAATTATAACCTGATAAATCATGTCATGGAAAAGCATTAAATCCCGTGTAAACGTCTTGCTACAATATCTCGTGTTTCGTATGTTTTTCGCCGCCATTTTGCTATTGACAATTAAAATTTGCACAATTTCACTCTTGGATGTTGCTGCTTACTATTAGATCCATTTTGACTCCAGCTTTTAATAACTTATCTGTAAATTGCAGAATTCTATTATTAATGAAACTCAAAGGTGTTGAAGATATAAAATACAAATTGTAATAGAGATTAAGAAGATTATTTTTCGTCCACCGAAACCGTTTCGAGGAAAATTGAATTTCTGAATTCTTTGTCACTTTTCTATAGAAGATTCTACATATTTTGTGTATATTTAGTAAATACTTAATCTTTACCAATAATATTTAAACCTATTCAATTTTATTTAAGCAACAAAAATGAATCATAATTTTCTTTAATATTACTCATTTTATTCTGTACTTACAATTATGTAACTGTCATCTTTGTTACATATTCTTAAAATTGATAAAATCCTTTATTGTGCAAATATACAAATGAATAAACCAATTTATTTAATAACTTCGTGCAAGAGGAATCAGTCTAATTTTAATACCAGCCAAATAAAATAATCTGAAATACGTTATTTTTACGTGTTTGGTAGAGTCTATAATGTTGAAGTTCTATTTCAACGGTGACTTCCGTAAAAACCGGATACACTTAGCCAGCAGCGCAAGAAGGTCTCGACGAAGTCGTTACTTGGCAATTGCACAACTATCCTAGGGACCAGGCGCCGACCGGTAGAATCTCGTTTTCTAGGACAATCGCGTAGCCGAGAACAATCTTGTTCAGACAAGATCAAGAACGGCTGCTCGTGTCGATAACATTCCAACGACGTTGATATCTGGTGTCGTTGTGGAAATGGAGAACTTATGAGGGAAACGGTACCGGCTCTGTACGTGTGATGCCTAATCGTAACTTTCGAGTAGATCGATTCTTTTATGACAATAATTTCGAGCGTTTTGTATAATATTACTTACACTTTCATAGCAAAGACATGTGGTATTATACTTAATTATTTGCAAGTTAGCATCTCAGTTCTTAAGTTATACTATTATTTAGTTACTTACATTATTCATTGTAATTGTTCTCGAACAATTCAGAAGCTCTGGTCATCAATGACCATACAGTCGACATGTTCATATCTAGCTGTTATCTACAAATGTTGTGCCTTTTTAATTGTTTGACACCCACATCGCGCGAATTCTGGTGAGATCTTTTATATTAGTTTAAAAATTAGTTTTCTTGGTAACGTATCGAATGAATCCAATATTGTTGGATAGATCAGTTACAAGGATATTAGAGCAGTAGTTATGAAGAATCTTAACTTTTTAGTTTCTATTACGTTAACCCTTTGTATTACCATTTAACTGGACAAAATCCGGGACATAATTGTAGCAGCCGACATCTAACTTGTGATACTTATGTTTGGCTTGAAATTGTGACATCGAGTCTCACTCGTGACAGTCATGTTTGCTCCGAAATTGTGATCACAAGTGAGGCTTGTCAAAATAGTGCAAGGAGTTGAGAAAGCTGTTTCAACTGTAGGGAATTTCTGATGAGTGTTTAGTGGTCGACGTGTTAAAAATGTATTTGATTCGCTGGAAATAATATCTACCTATATAATAAATTGTATTCACGATTAAGTCGGTATTTATTATTAACAATGATTAAAAGGTATTCAACATTATTTACTGATATCCTGAATAATCTACATTCAGCAGGAGATTCAACAGATATTTGAAATTTAAGTTCTTACTGTATTGCGAACGATAGTGAACCAACTACAATTTATTTAACAAGCACAGATTTAGTACAAATATAGAATAGCTTTGTTTAAACTAAATATAACTATAAAAAATTCTGAATTTTAATACCGAAAGAAGAATGTTTCGACGATGAAACCTATAAAATTGAGAATATAAGGGGAATGGACAATAGCTTTCTAAATTGTGTTTAATTATATTTTAATATGTTGAAATTTCGGATGAAGTGAATAATTATTTTCTTATTTAAATTTTTTCCCACACTTTTCTATTTTGAAGTATATGAACATCTTTTTCTTCGTTTCGAAAACAATTTACCGTAAAACATATTCTCTATTGCAAATTGTTTTGAAAGCAACGCTATCCTGCTTTCCTTTCGCAATAGTGAAAGACTCGTCCAGATAATACTCAGCATTAATTAATGTCGAAATTTTTATAATGACGCGCGCAACTTTCACTAACCCGGAAGTGATTAATGTAATATCTTAGATAATAAGTAAAAAAAAGTACTTCCACGGCGTAATGAAACTGTGAAAGATGCGATAACATAATTATTCACGAGAACGTTCCGGATGCGCGACCAAATGTGAGCGAGAATTGTAATTGTAGTATTCAGACGAAAAATATTATCTTCTATTATAATGTGCAATGTAGCTACGTATAACTTATTGTTTCGTATGTATGCAAAGTATTTGAACAGCACTTTATAATTAATTTTCCTTCAAACGTAATATCTTTTATGAAGTGTATAAACATAACCTTAGTTCTATCTATATCTAATAATACTCGAAATTCACTGTTTTATTAGTGATACTGTTCATTATGCTATTTCTGACATAATGCGCGTTGTATAACAGTGTCTCGAGATTATTAAAAAAAATAGTACAAGTCAATGTAAGGCGCAAATGGTTATTTCTAAACCAGTCGGCGTCAACTCATTATAAATCTTGCAAAATCGGCCTTACAGCGGACGGAGAATTTTAAGTACTGACGATGGTTTGATCGTCCAATCCCAGCACGCCGTGATCCGGAAGACTGCTTGTGTCAGCTGTTCGTTACTTTGACTTGCAATGAAGCGCGGGTGGCAACGCGCAGGTTAGTTTCACGGTTTACCTGAAAGACAAGAAAAAAAGAGAAGATGTTTTCTTACTCACGTTTACATTACACTCGACCTATCGGTGGTCCTACCTGTTTTCATCGGATCACGAATGAGACGCGCACACGTAGAAAACGCACGAGCATTCATGCACACGTGTAGCACGCGGAACAGGGCTACATATATCTCTCTCTTTCTCCCCCTACCTACTTTTCTTACTTTCTTCCTTCTCCCCGCCAGACACCGCAAGTCAGGGCTGCACTTAGGATCTTCCAGTTCCTGACTCCCTCGAGAAGGAAAATTTATGAATAATAGTAAGAAATTTTTCAATTCAACGAAAAACGATAATATATATAACCTTTCATAGATTATTCAAAAAGTTGAATAAATTCAAAGTTATTATTTTCGATTGCAGTCTTCCATGATCTTCTAAACCTGAGAAATTATTAAAATAGAAAAGTTTTCTCGATGAATTGTGAATTGACGAAAGTAAAGTAAAAATGTTTGATACATTGTATTAAGTTATAGTAAAATTAAGGTGAAAATAACGTTAAATGTTACATATACATGTATTTGCT